ATTCTTTTACTTTATGACCTTGAGTCGCTGCTTGAGACAAAATATTTTGTAGTGCCTGTTTCACTTCATTTTTGTGTCTAAGAAAAGAAATGAACCTCATTTTGCTGTAATGATCTTTGAAAACAACAAAATATCGTTTACTATTAAATGATTCTGTACTGAAAGGACCACAAACATCTGCTGATAGTAGTTCACCTGGTTTATTGGTTGCATTTCTCTTGCCAAATTTTAACCGATGTGCTTTACCATAGAGACATGGTTCACACAAATCCTTGTCAAGATGAACTTTAATGTTTAACTCTTTTTCTATAACATTCTTTATGTGACGTTTATCTTGATGACCAAAACGTTCATGGTAGAGCTGCACTATTGAATTTTCACTGACTATATTCACTTCAGCCGGTGTATTTGGAGTTAATGAAATCAAGTTTGCCTCATACAAGGAACCATCTACTCGTCTTGTCCCTTGTACTACCACTCGGTTCTTTATACTGAGTTGACATTTGGTTGCATAAGATTCAAACTTGCTGTTTTTTGAATTTTTATCTTGTGCGGCTAATATGGAAAACAGGTTTCTACCTATATTTGGAACATACCAGACATCTGAGAGTTTTATATACTGTTGTTTGTTATTTACTGTTGACAGCATATTTATTTCGCCTCTACCCACAGCAGCAAGAACTTTTTTTCCTGCAGCTTGAACAGAACATGGTGCGACAAACTTCTCAAAAGTAACAAAATTATCTGGATTGTTCGTTAGGTGTTTTGTTGCTCCATTGTCTATATACCACTTAGTGTTGTCTCTCAGTGTTTGATTACTGGCTGACGTGCACAAAACTACATTTGATGTTTCATCATATGCTTTTCTTGGTGTCGCTGAAACATTTTTGGAATTTTTAGAAGGTCTTCCATCACTGACCCACTTTCTACATTGCCTAACCCAGTGTCCAGGTTTATGGCAATAGTTGCAGTTACCAACTGGTTTTGTCCTTCTAGTGAAATCTCTTGATTTGTTGAAACTTGGTTTTTCAACATTTACAACTAAGGCGTTCTGCCTTGATGATTTATCGATTGTGTCGAAAGTCTTTATCTCTCTTTCGAAAGCACAGAGATAAGTGATTAAATCATCTATCGACTGCTTTTCTTCACCTAGCATTAGCCAACTTGATTTGAAATTTTGGAAACTATTTGGGAGAATCTGCATCGCTTTGCATACTAATAGCAGCTCTGGTAGTTTATTTTCTCCCGATGCCTGAAGCCCACTGTTTAATTCATTCCATAAAGTTTTCAATCTTGCAATTTGGCCGGATACATCTACATCCGCTATCCAATTGAAATCGAAAAAATTGCTACAAACTTGGAACAGTTGGTCCTTAGTTGACGCTTCAAAATTTCTTTTTAATTCCTCCCAAACTTCAAACGCTGTGTTCTTGTCCATTATCTTTTGGTATGTATCTTCTGTGACTGCATTTGCAATTACTGATTGGCATAACTGTTTGCCTTTCTAAACAGATCTGATTTATTTTTAAAATCTTTTGCCTGTTGCTCTGTTTGGTTTTCTAGTAATTCTGGTTTCGACAACTTCCCATCAATCACATCAAGTGCGCCCTCATGGTAGTCCATGAAATCTCGAACACGACGTTTCCAAATGGGCCAATCGGCTGCGCAACTTAACTGCTTTATTTGAAGCTTTGAATCCATTTCTTCCTTGTCTTTCAAGTTTACCTTTTAATTAGAAGCAAAATATCGAATTTCAGGGAATGAAGAAGCACGTGCTTTCTCTTCACTTCAGTCTTCACAAAGGAATCTTCCGATATTTCTTTATTCTAAATTTACTTCGTCAAATCAATTAATTAAGAAAAAAAACATCTGGGTCCCATAACCTGTTATATTTCTTATTACGTAGATCGCTTAATTAATTGATACAATATTGAAAGACATTAATAGACAAGAAATAGACTTTGCAACGTTCTCGACTTGTTTATTATCAACCGGATCAACAGAAAAGGAAAAGTGAAGTTACATACAAAGCAAAGAACACTTGGTCCAAAGAAAATAAATGTATATTATAAATCATAATGTTTTAATATAAAACATAAAACTTAACAATTTTATGTTAATTGGCCAATCCAAAATTTAAGCATGAATAGTTTGCTTGAACTTTATATCTATTATAGCATATTTATATTGAAATAGTTTGAAAAACATTAAGAGCACCACGTACCTTTTCTGTCTTGCAGCGTCAACATCATCGCCTGCAAATCAAGTTAAGTGCAGTTTATTTGTTATAAACACCTTCAGTTATTTTTATGCTATCAATTGCAAATTATTTATTAAAAAAATTCTCAATGTTTACAATTACAACTACTTGACTAATTCCACTAAACAAAACCAAACATTTAAAAAAACGATATTTCAAAAATTTGAAGTTCTAGCAATTGTGTTTTATTTTTGAATCTGTACAAATGTTGAAGAGAATGTGTAAAAAAATATATATAAGAAGGAGCAAACCTTGCGCAAGCGCTCCAGAGAGCAGACTGATCAGGCTGGTGAACAGCAACATGCAGAGGAGGCCGATCCTAAATTGCATTCTTCTTGCAAACTCTGTCACAACAAAATAGATAAGAATAAATTTTTATTTAAAAATTTAACATTGAACGAATGGTTCTAACCAAAAATAAAAATAGCAATAACAAAATTTCTCGATTTAGCGTAAAAATTGTGTTGGTTGCCGTGTAGTATTTGGTTTATATAGCCAACAATTCATCAACTACTGAATGATCCGATAAAAGTAACAGTTAGGCGATAAAAATTGAATTTAATTAGAAGGAAGGTGTAATTATATTATGTATATATATATACCAATTATGTATTGAATCTACCAATCTACGACGTGTTCAATTATTATTCAAAAAAGTTATAACAACAAATTGGGGAATTATTTTTATAAAACCTGCTTATCCGAAAACCTCGTTTTTAATTATATATATATATATATATATTAGTAATGTTTGGCGTTAATATGTTTGTAGTTCGTTCGTAAAAGTAACAGGCAATAACAATTGAATTTAATTAGAAGGAAAGTGTAATTATATTATGTATGTATATGTATAGTGCGGTATAATGGGTGTGGAATCGCTGCTGCTTCAGGCTCAGTTTCGCTGGATAGGGCACGTTATGCGTATGCCAGATACAAGAATTTCCAAGCAGGTCTTTTTTGGTCAGCTAGCGTCGGGAAATGTGGCAAGTGGCCCTGTACACAGATACAGACAGCCTTAAAGAAAATATGAAAAGATGTGGTCTAGACCCCAAGGCTCTTTGTGTTGATGCTCTGCGACGCTCGGAATGGAGAAGGTCTTTTTTCAGCTTTTGAACTGGCACGCACAGCTGCTCTCGCTGAAAAAAGGACTCGACGAAAACAGACGGCCCAAAGCGGCGATAGTACGGGTGTATGGATTTGCGGAACTTGTGCACGGAAATGTTCGTCAAGGATAGGACTTTTCGTTCATTCTAGGACTCACCGATGACCCAATTCGTCGATTCGACGATGTACTCCATATAACTACGTTATATTTAGGAAGTAATTTATGAAATCTATCAAATTTCTAGAGTTCGATATTTTTTTTGCTACATTTCATATTTTTTTACTAAAATTGCACTTTCCTTTTAACTAAAAAGAAACTTTCCATCGCTAGAAATTCAGTAAGTTTCATAAATTACTGCGTTAATTATGGTGGTTGCTATGTACTTTATGTTATGTTTCTCTTGTAAATGTGCTAAAATGATGATGATTGAATCGTTGCTGGTTGTGGTTTCTGGTTTGAATGATTTAATTGACTTATGTTGGATCATTAAAGTATTAGAATGAGTGCATTTAAGTTCTAATTACATACATTTTTGTATTAATAATTTATTTTTTGTTCTGCTAATATTTAATATTTGCCTATATTTTGGTTTACTTCTTTGTGATAATATCATTCTCGAACAAATTTCGTAACTTTCTAGTAATTTTAGTATTGTTTTATTTTCTCCGACGTGTTAATATAATTTTTGTTCAAACTTCGAAACATATTAATAATTTTAAGACAAGTATTTTCTTTTTTCATTTTTTTTTGTCGATTGAAAAAGTGGCTGGGCTCGATGAGTTTTTTTAGCTCTTCACGGTCGTCCTGAGCCTTGTTCTTTTTTTCCTTTAAGGGGTTCTAACAAAATTGTTTTATATTGTTTTGTATTTGGCAAGACACTTAGTTTAGATTTAATATCTTGCAGTTCATTGTTTATAGTTAAAAAGAATTTATTTAACTGCACCTGCAGAAGACTAGAACTGGTCCCATTTAATTTATTTTTTAGAGCTTCAGAGTTGTAAGTTGGTAAGCTATTCATTGTTGGTTGTTTCTTGGAATTGACGCTGCAAAAAACGACATTTTATCAATCATGAAATTTACTTTCAAGACTTTTAACATAGATGTATCATACATTTAAAAAATTTATAACATTTTTGGTGGCCTCGCGAAGTCTGTTCTACAAAACGGTCAAATTTACCTGTTCAAATTCACTTTTTAATTTTTTTAAAACATTATTAAAGTCTCTTTTTAAAAAATTAATTAATTAATTTTTAAATAAGTTAACATTATTCATGAGAAAATAAAGCAACTCGTCAAACTTAACAGAGCGGGACGTCATTTTACCATTTTAAAATGTAATTTTCAATTAAATTTTTGTCCTGAGGGTTTTTGTCGGCTTTTAGTTCGGGGTTTTTGTCCTGTCACCCGAAAGTTTAATTATATGTTTGGAATGACATGTAGACAGTTTGGTGTGTGTCAGAGCCGTCTAAAGAACCAGAAAAATTCCTATTAATGCTACAAGAGTAAATAATGACACCTAATGATATCATATTAATGAGGGTGACGTCATTCGACAGTTTTTCATATTAATGAGAGTGACGTCACGTCATTCAACAGTTTTTCATTTTTCTTAACCACGCCAGCAACTTGCTTCGCATTCATCCATCATTTCGATTGGTCGGCTTGTCGGAACCTCCCAACTCCAATGTGGGAAGAGCCAATTCGAAGCAGCAATCTCATTGGCTGACCTCTGAGCTGCTGACCTCATTTTTTTTCCATCACATCAAACAGATGGAGTTTGAGGATGAGTTAAATGTCATTAAGAGAGAGGTTGGTGTGTCATTACTGTCTTTACTCTCGTCAATATCTTCTTTTCACCAACATTATCATCATCATCGTTATTTGCAACACCATCTTTGTCATCTGCCTCGTTTTTATATCTTTCATTATCATCATTTTTATCATCGTTATCTTTACCACTATCGTTATAATCATCTTCATCATCTTCGACGTCATTCAGAGAGAGGTAGGTTTGTCATTACTGTTGTTACTCTCGTCAAGATCTTCATCATCATTACCAACCTTTATATCACCAACTTCTTCACACACAACACACACACATACACACACACATAAACCGTCCTAAGGTGAAAGATATAACCAGAATGCTACCGGTCATGCAGTTCACGAACAACATTAGAAATGCTCATGACAATCAGGTGAGTATATTAAAAGTAATTAGATGATCAACAATGGTGATGGTGATGGGGACGTTTGTGTTATCGGTGGTGGTGACTTTACTGATGATGACACTTTTTTAGGGTTGGAAGGAATTTTTTTCATGCTGATCATCACCATCGTCGTCGTCATCATCACCATCATCATCATTATTACCACCATCATCATCATTATTACCACCATCATCATCATTATTACCACCATCATCATCATTATTACCATCATCATCATCGTCATCACCACCATCATCATCATCATAGTGATTTCTAACGATCGTTTATGATAATGGTCATCACATCGCCAACCATATTGGCCGTCAACATCATGTTCTCGATGAATGATGATGGTATAATTGAATGATAGTTATAATTATTATGATGATAGTTATTTTATTTTTCATACCTTTCATGCTTAAACATTTTTTCCTCCGTTATTAATTTATTCCTCGTTATCATTTTATACTACTGCCTTGCATGCTGTAACAGTTTCTGCGTCTGTCAGATTCCGATTGTTTAAAGAATGATAATAAAAAAAATATCATTACGGCCAGCATGGTGACGGTGATGTTGATGATGATGCTGATGATGATGTCTAACGGGATGTTGATGATGATTAATGATAATTATTATCATAATAATTATAACTATCATCCAATCTATCATCATTCATTCATCGAAAACATTATCACCATTTCCTTCTCATCCTCATCAGCATCATCATCATCAACAACAGCAACTAGATCGTTATCATCATCTTCATCATCATCATCATCACCATCATCATTATTATCATCGTTATCATCATCTTCATCATCACCATCATCATTATTATCATCGTTATCATCATCATCAGTTGCGATCTGTATCTTCATCATTATCCACCCGACAACTGCTAAGAATAGCGCGAAGGTTAAATGTATATGGTGCTGATGACGATGTCCATCATTTGGTCAGTAAGGCATGTCTGGCCAGGTTAGTCTGGGTTGTTGTGTCTGTCTTCCTATCTCTCTATCTCTGTCGTGTCTATGTTGTGTTTCAGTTGTGTATGCGTTTTTCAGTGTTATGCCCGTGTCTTTTTTGCTTTGTCTGCCATGTGTCTGCATTTTGTGTCTGCGTTTTGTGTGGTGTCTGCAATGTGTCTGTCTGCGTTTTGTGTGGCGTCTGCGAGATGTCTGCGTCATGTTTTGTGGAATGGTTGGAGGAATGAGTGGGTGAACTTATTTACTAATAAGTAAGAGATCTTACGCATGAGTGAATGAATAATTATACTGTTATTGTTGCCTATTATTATTATTATAACTGATAATCTTTAAAATATTATTATTGAAAAATATTAATTATCTTTTCATCATCGTCATCATCATCACCACCGACCCACCCAACAGATTCTTACCAAGACTGACTAAAATGATGTTTGAAGATGAATTGGTGAAATTGGGAATCGTTCCAACGTCACCATCATCATCAATATCACCATCATCGTCATCATCATCATCCTCATCATCATCTTACGATAAAGCTGACGATACAGATTTGGATGAAATGATAACATGTTAGGATTTTTATTCATATTTTTGTTATTCTTACTGCGATTACCACTATCATAATTTTATTAAGTTACGTATTCATAATTTATTATTATTATTACTATTTTTTTTATTGCGGTTGTTGTTATTGTTGTTACTGTTATTGTTGTTGTTGTTATTGTTGTTGTTGTTGTTATTGTTGTTGTTGTTACTGTTGTTGTTGTTGTTGTTACTGTTATTGTTATTGTTGTTGTTATTGTTGTTGTTGTTGTTGTTGTTACTGTTATTGTTGTTGTTGTTATTGTTGTTGTTGTTGTTGTTGTTACTGTTATTGTTGTTGTTGTTATTGTTACTGTTGTTGTTTTATGGATTTTATGGAACGCCAAATTATTGTTCCCCTGTCAAATTGAAGCTCACTTCAGATTGGATTCTTCATTTTGTTACTTAACTTCAGAACGCACTCTCCGTCTCCAGTATAAATCTCACACAATAAATATCATAGCCACAACCTTAACTTTTATACTTTTTGCTACCCAGTTTTGATTATTTTATTTAGTTAAGTCCGACCCATAACGAATGTAGACTATAAACAAAGATTGATTTAGCTAATTAATTGTTAATTATATTTAATTTTTATTATGATATTATTGTAATTATGAAAATACGAAATGTCAATTTTGTTGTTGTTGTTGTTGTTATGAAGGTGAGGTGAGTGGTGGGGTGTTGAGGATTGGGTGTGTCCAGGCGCCCGTTCATCCATCCAACCATCCAACAAAAGTTCCCGACATTCTTTTTTATGATAATTATCAGGTTCGTTCGTTCATTCTGTCGTTCATTATTGTTAATGTTCAATCAATCAATCAGTTAATCAATTAATTAATCAATCAATCAGTTAATTAATCAGTTAATTAATCACTCATTAATTACACAATCAGTCAATCAATCAATCAGTTAATTTATAAATCATCAATGAATAAATCAATCAGTTAGTTATTAAATCATCCATGAATCAATCAATCAGTCATTCAACCACCCAATCAATCGGTCGGTCAATCAGTTATCAATCAATCATCAATCGATCAATCAGTTAATCAATCATCAGTTAATCATTCAAATCAACCAATCAATCAGTGTGTGTGTGTGTGTGTGTGTGTGTGTGTGTGTGTGTGTGTGTGTGTGTGTGTCTGTGTGTGTGTCTAGTAGTAGTAGTATTAGTAGCAGCAGCAGCAGTAGTAGTAGTAGTAGTAATAGTAGTAATAGTAGTAGTAGTAGTAATAGTAGCAGTATTTGTTTTTGTTGTAGTAGTAGTATTAATAGTAGTTGCAGTAGTAATAATAATAGTTATAATATAAATGTTTATAGTTATTGTATAGCCATCGTCGTCATCATCATCATCGTCATCATCACCACCGTCATCATCATCAGCATCTGAAGGTTATGGAGGACATGTTGAAAGACTTCTTACTCGGTGAACATCTCCTACTCATTGGGAATCAAGGTCGTCATCATGTTCTTCCATTTCATCCTCTCCATCACCATTGTCATTACCATCAGGGCTTCCATCATTATCAGCATCACTACCTTATCATCGTCATCGTCATCATCTTCTTCACCATCTTTCAATTCATCGTAACCTTAATCATTCGCCATCATTCTCGCCAGCTTCGTCACTCTCCTTTGTCATCTCTTCATCATCAACATTCTCATCATCCATCCATCATTGCCATCATCAACATTATTACCATCACCATCTGGTCATCATTATCATCATCATAATCATCACTACCATCATCTCACCATCACCACCACCACTTCCCACCGTCGTCCAGGTGTTGGCAAGAACAAGATAGCTGATAGGTTCTTGCAGTTGTTGAACAAACCTCGTGAATACATTCAGCTGCATAGGTAGTTGACTGGCTGGCTGGTTCATTGATTGATTGAATGAATGACTGAATGAACAAAGGAATGTCAGATTTTGTTTGGTTGATTGAGTGATTGGTTTGTTGATTGATTACTTGATTGATTTATTGATAGATTGGTTGATTGATTGAGTGATTGATTAAAGCTAGGTTCATTTTTATATATATTCATTGTTTCTTTAATTGATTGGTTGATTGATTTATTGACTGACTGACTGACTGACTGACTGACTGACTGACTGACTGACTGACTGACTGACTGACTGACTGACTGACTGACTGACTGACTGACTGACTGACTGACTGACTGACTGACTGACTGACTGACTGACTGACTGACTGACTGACTGACTGACTGACTGACTGACTGACTGACTGACTGACTGACTGACTGACTGACTGACTGACTGACTGACTGACTGACTGACTGACTGACTGACTGACTGACTGACTGACTGACTGACTGACTGACTGACTGACTGACTGACTGACTGACTGACTGACTGACTGACTGATTGATTGATTACAGGGACACCACTGTTCAGTCATTAACTGTTCAGCCAAAAATTGTGGATGGCGTTCTGAGTAAGTTGAACGATTGGTTCATCAGCTGTTTGATCAGCTGCTTTATCAGCTGCTTGATATATATCACATTCGTTTGGCTGATTGAACAATCAATTCTTGTATGTAGTCCTTTTCTGATATCAACTTCCGTCTCCAAGCATCTGATCATTTGCTTCCGACTCCCTGAGATTTAATGTCTTCAGGTCTTCATGTACTTTTTGCACCCTAACCCACTCCAACTCTGCAGATTGAACACGGCCAGGGAGGGACGAGCAGTGTCGACGGGTTCAGCAGATTCACCCGGGGCCATAGCTTTTACTTTCAAGATATACCTTGAGACAATGATCGGCAAACTGGGCATCTCCACCTCAAACGTTCGACGCCGGCATTAGGACGACATCATCTCCATGCATCACATTCCATGTGTCATCTGAGCTATCGACTCTATTATTTCTTCCATCACCGTGATGAATAGCAGGGGGCCAAGTATCGAGCCCCGGTGCGCTCCAACGTTGATGTCGATCCACCCGTACTGCCATCTGCTGCACTGACCAAGGTCCTGGTGTATGCGTGCGTTGCTACAACCAATCGAAGATGATATTCCGGAACATTCCGTCTACGTAGACTCCATCTAATGGCCTCACGAGGCACTCCGTCAAAAGCTTCTTCTCTGTCCAGCAAACGTGGGATAATTGTTTTTGCATTGGCGGATATTTTGCCAGTAGCTGGCGGATGATGGGGGTGGCATCCATGGTGGATCTACCTGCCACGAAGCCGAACTGATAACCACCACCAATGGAAACGCGTGGTGATACTCTCTCGCGGTGATCTTTTCAATGATTTTCAAGGGGTGTTTCAAAAAAACGTTCACTTCAATGGTGGGTTGGTCACCTCTGCCTTTGTACCAGGGCGCTGTTGTCCCACTGTCCCATTTGATGACCATTAACGAGTCCCTCCACATCTCCCGACAGATGCATAGCAGAGCCCGAAAACCAGCTTCAGTTTGGTTGATTGAACGTTAAACACAAACCTTTGGAAATATTTTAGTTCATTTAAAATTTGTTTAATTTGTTGGTAGAATGATAAGATGTTTCAAATAAAGAATTGATTTGTTGGTTGGTTGATTGGTTGGTTGTTTAATTGGTTGGTTGGTTGTTTGGTTGTTTGTTTGGTTGGTTGGTTGTTTGATTGGTTGTTTGGTTGGTTGTTTGTTTGATTGGTTGGTTTGTTTGCTGGTTGGTTGGTTGGTTGTTTGATTGGTTGGTTGGTTGATGATGTTTTCCTTTCAACATTCTTCATTGTTCAGTCTGTTCATAATAACCATCATCATCCACACAACAAACCAATCAACCACACCACAAAATAACTAACTACCTAACCACCCACTGAACTACCACCACCCAACCTCAACCACCCACCACCACCACGAAGGTTACGACGACTCTCCTCTGGTGAAAGCGGTGAAGAGTGGGAGTGTGTTGGTGGTTGATGAGGCAGACAAAGCGCCGACAAATGTGACCTGCATCTTGAAGGGGCTGGTGCAAGTTGGGGAGATGCATCTATCGGACGGCAGGAGGATTGTCAGAGGTGGGTGTGGTTGGTGTGGTGGTGGTGGTGACGGTGGGGGTGGTGTGATTGTATTTTGTTCATCCTCCTCCTCTTATGACACCATCCCAGGTGACTCCAGACTGACACCCTCTCAATCAACCATCCCGATGCATAGGGACTTCCGGATGATCATCCTGGCTAACAGGCCTGGATTCCCATTCCTTGGCAATGATTTCTTTGCCGCAGTCGGTTGGTTGATCAATTTTTTGGTTGGTCGGTTGGTAGGTTGATTAATTTTTTGGTTGGTTGTTTGGTTGGTTGATTAATTTTTTGTTGATTGATTGGTTGGTTGATTAATTTTTTGGTTGGTTGGTTTATTGTTTGGTTGGTTGATTATGTAGTTAGTTGGTTGATTGGGTAGTTGGTTGGTTGGCTGGTCGTATGGTTGGTAGAACAGTTGCGTGGTTTATTGTATTGGATGATCTTCTTTCAGGACGGTCACTTACATCGCAAAGACATGCACCTCAAAATTTGTTGAGTCTATATTTCATAATTCATATTTCATTAGCAATCTCGTGTTTGAAATCTGCTGATTGATTGGTTGGTTGATTGGTTGGTTGATTGATCGATCGATTGATTGGTTGGTTGATCGATTGATTGGTTGGTTGATCGATTGATTGATTGGTTGGTTGATTGACCGATTGACTGATTGGTCGGTTGATTTCTTGATCTGTTTATAATGCTGTTTCATTGGTTGTTTATACAGATATTTATACAGAATCTGGTTCCTCAACGATCTTTGTGTGTTTTGCATCATCAATTAATTCAATTAACTTCTTCATCCATTCAACTGATTAATTATGGTTATAATTGAAGTATTTGAAATAAACAAATGACCCAAAGGTGACGCCTTCAGCACGCATGCTGTCGACAACCCGTCAGCAGCGTCCCAGCTCAACATGCTCAAGAAGTTCGTTCGTACTCTACGTTCTATTTCATGCATCTCTTGCCTTGTTTGCAAAGTTAGACACACACGCATACACGTACACACACATACATACATTCACACACATACACACACATACCTGCACACACACATACATTCACACGCACACACACACTGACAGGTACGCCCCGTCAGCAGACGAGACGACGTTGAGGCAGGTGGCAGAGTTGTTTGACGAACTGCGGTCGTTGTCTGATCAGGGGGTCATCAACCATCCATTCTCAGCAAGGGAGGCTGTTGCGGTTGCCAAGCACCTGCAGGTCACTTGCATAATTTATTCACTTCTACTGGGGGTCATTTGCATAATTTATTCACTTCGTCCGCGGGTCATTTGCATAATTTATTCACTTACCTCATCGACAGGTCACGTGTATAATTTGTTTCCTTTGTTTTAATGATTATTTTGCCTAAATAAGTCTGAACTAGTTGTTCACGCCATTTTGTTCATTCGTTTGTCACATAGACATTCATCCATCAAACCAACCAGCTGATATTAGTTCATTCATTCGTTCATTCACTTAACAGTTCGTTCGTTCGTTCGTTTGTTTGTTTGTTTGTTCATTCAATCATTCATTCATCCATCCATACATCCAGATGTTTCCGAATGATGGACTGATGACAGCAGTTGAGAACGTGTTCGACTTTGATGCGTACGACCCTGACCTTACGAGGGTCATTCACAAGGTCATGAGGAAGCACGGACTGCCTGTGGGAGGTCACGTGGGCAACATTCATCTGGCGAAAGAGTAATGATGGGTTGATGGATGGGTTTGTTGGTTGATGGTTGGAATGAATGAATGAATGAATGAATTATTAGTTGATTGATTGATGAACGGATGAATGGATGATTGATTGATGGACGATTTAGTTAATATACTAGTTTGGTAGATAGGTCTTTCACATGATTGGTTAATTAGTTTTTTGTTTTTTGGTTGTTGGATGTTCATCTACCTTTTCATTTGCTTCCACTCAACTGGCCTCTGAAGATTTTGAAAGATTTTGACATTGATTGGTTGATGGTGTGTTGCTGATTGGCTGGTGATGAGTCGTTGGTTGGTTGATGGTGGGTTGCTGATTGGTTGATGGTGAGTCGTTGATTGGCTGATGGTGGGTTGCTGATTGGTGATGGTGGGTCGTTGGTCGGTTGATGGTGATGGTTGTACACTTGACTGGTGGTCCATTGATTGCTGACGTGTGGAAGTTAGTTGCCCGATTGATTGACGGATCGAAGATTTGAGTGTGTGTGTGAGCAGTCATTTGAGTGCGTTGGATACTTCTACTTCATTGCGAACATTGGGACTGGCTCTCCATGATTCAATGTTTTTTATTTTTTTGAATAAAAATTATTTTCTTCATTGTCCAGTTGTTCAGTTTTATACTTTCTTTCATTCGTTCATTAATTAATTAATTAATTAATTTATTCATTCATTAATTTATTCATAATGAATAAATTAATAAACGAATTAATTAATTAATGAGTAAATAAAGAATTAAATGAACGAATGAGTGGAGGAACGAGTAAATGAATCGGAGATTAGCGGAAATTGAGATTTGTTGCAAATTCCCTCCCAATGTTGTTGGTCCCGTTTCCGGCTCCCTCCTGGATCTCCTCCCTGACAACGATCCCTGAAATTCCCATTCCCTAATTTTCCACCGCATTCCCACGTTCGCTGGTGAATGGATAGTGAATGAGAGATAGAGAGGTGGATTGATTTGTCGATGGACAGATAGATGGATGGAAAGATAGATGGATGGAAAGGTAGATGGACGGAAAGATAAGATGGATGGAAAGATAGATAGATGGAAAGATAAATGGATTGATAGGTAGATAAATAAATAAAATTCAGAAGAATGGATAATAGATGGATGGATAACAAATTGATAAATAGATGCGAACGGTTTAATGGATGTATAGATAATTAATGAATGTGGGAGAGTAGGTAGATGGATAGTAGCTAGATAGATGGATAGTGGATAGATAGGTAGGTAGTAAGTAGATAGATGGATGGATATTATTAATAGATAGATGGATATATATGTAGATGGATGGATATTAGGTAGATAGATGGATGGATAGTAGGTAGATAGATGGATGAATAGCAGGTAGGTCGGTGGAGAAACCATAGATGGATGGATTAATGTGTGTCTGGAATCTTGACTCGTAATTGATGCCTGAATTATTTTCAGTTAATTTTTTGCTGTTCGAAGGAATAATTCATCATCTGGCCCGGCTAATGTTCCGACTCAATTCTCACTAAATTCCAATTAAGTTAACGCATAATCGTTAAACTATTGAAAACAATTCATTTTAAATTCTTCATAGGCTTTCCATACCTCCTATGACGTACAAATGTCAGCTGACTACGAAGAATTTGAAGAACTCGTTCAACGTTAAGGAGGGTGGTGTTGTTATCAAGGTCAGTTGGCTGGTTGTCTGATTGGTTGTCCGGTTGGTTGTCTGGCTGGTTGGTCAGTTGGCTGGTTGGTCGGTTGGCTGGTTGTCTGGTTGGTTGGTTGGCTGGTCAGTCAGTTGGTTGGTTGGTCGGTCGGTCGGTCGGTTGGTTGGTAGGCTGATTTATTAATTTGTTCCATTATTTGATTGTTTTATTGAATGTTTTTTATGATTGATTAGTTGATAAAGACTTCAGCACTCAATCCCCCAATTTGTTGTTTATTTTTAAAATTAATTGATCGATCGATCATTCAACCCTCCACTCATTACTTCACCAATATTTTGGTCAACCATACATTCAATCGGCCAAGTAAGCATCCAATTTTTCAATCAGTCAGCCATCCCAGCAACCACTAAACTGACCAACCAACCACTGAATCAAACAACCAACCAGCCCACCAACCCAAATAACCAGCTACTCATCCAGTTAACTGCAATCAACCACTCGACCAACCTATCAACCAGCCAACATCTCAACCAATCAAAGCCAACTTCAGCCACTCAACCAACCTATCAACCAGCCAACATCTTAACCAATCACAGCCAACTTCATCCATTTAACCAAACGATAACAGCCACCAACGCAGCTGAAAGCACAGAGGTTGAAGTTGGATGACTTCCAACAAAGGTCCACCCACTTCAACGAGGTCACCTCAACTTGGCACATCCCTATTTTTCAGGGCAGTGACGTCACCATGGTTACCGTTGCTAAGGGTAGGATGGTAATGGTGATGATGGTGGCGATGATTATATTGAAGCTGATGATGATGGTGGTGGTTTTTGAAATTTAGTTTTAGTCAATTTATGTCAATGCTAGTAGAACGGGACCAGTTTATGTTAGGTTTTTGAATTTGCTGCTTTTTGCTTCTTAAAACACCAATCAATCAATCAAACAATCAAACAAACAATCAAACAAACAAACAATCAATCAAACAAACAAAAAAACAGCTGACCAACACTATCAGCAACAACAATCATTGGACAACACCGACCAACTGAATAGCGACATCATCCACGCCGTGACCTCTGACCCACTGACCCTCTGCTCAATTGATCTCCTCAGAAGGTCAACAACCCTAATCGACCTCCACCCCCAACAGAGTCGGAGGAACAGATTTTTTTCACAGCTGAACGTAGCAGCTCTGCAAGCCCCCCTCAACCATGGTGTCGTCCTGCACGATGAGAACGTTGGTGGTGGTGGTATGGTGGTGGTGGTGGTGGTATGGTGGTGGTGGTATGGTGGTGGTGGTGGTGGTATGGTGGTGGTGGTGGTGGTATGGTGGTGGTGGTGGTGGTGGTATGGTGGTGGTGGTGGTGGTACCAATGGTTTAAAGTTCCATCTCCAAACACTTCATTCATTCGTTCGCCAGCCATCTTAATAATGCAAACATCTTTTATTCTCACGAGAAGGGAAGCATACATGTTGGTGAAGTTTAAAGTTAAATAAAATGTTAATGCTATTCAAAGTTATTCAAAAATTGAATAAAATAATATAAGAACAAAAGCAGTGGACGAGTTTGGTCATTACCTAGAGGAGTGCAAAGCGGTGGAATATATTTAAAATTAGAATTAAAAATTAAAATTTATTTCCGTCACAATACATGCCACATTATCGTCTTATAACAGTTTATCAATTCATCATTAAAAGAAGTCGGTCATGGAGTTTTAAATAAAGATGGATTAAAATTAATATAAAAAACAATTGGCGTTATTTCAAAAGTGTCTACAATTGCTGAGCAGTTTTTATGATTGTCGTTTAGACAGCGTTGCAAACTGTTGGAATGTTCGTTCCTCTTGTATTGCCTGGAGGATGTTAGGCCGGTCTCGTGACGGGCAGTCACCTCCGGAACCTCTGTTGTGTGTCTGTGAAGGATGGCGGTGCCAGGTCGTAGGCTGTTGGAGAGTTGCGATACGGGTGAACATCATCTGATTCAAATCTGCAAATAATTGACCACTGGCTGGAGCGCATAACTTCAACCAGCTATTGATCATGTTCAAAATTTTTTCGGTGTATCTTGCTAGAGCAGAGGGTAAACTGCAATTTCAAAGCACACGTTTGTTTGTTGGTCGAGAATCGCAGGGATAGCATAGGGGGTTTGATGCTGTTTGCCCCATCAGGACCAATTTGCATTTGTTGGCAATTGCTGGACTAACAACTTCCTAGCAAATTTGTAGAGGACTCTAGCAAGATTTTCTGTTGTCAACGCGAAATGTTGTTAGCTTTGATGAAATGTTTCATATTTGAGATTGTTGTACTCGGTAGCGGTAGAACGTGATTCAGACATGCTTCAGTCCTCATCTCTTCAAGCAAGCTTCAGTCCTCATCTCTTCAAGCAAGCTTCAGTCTTCATCTCTTCTAACTGATTGAGTGTTAATTTTAAAGAGCCTGATTTAGAAAGCGTTTTGAC